TTCCAGTTTTTGAACCTGGCCAGTCGTATAAACAAGAGATTGTAGTGTTAATGATAGAATGATGACTAAAATTTGCATGCTCAAAGAGATATTTATTCCTTGCAATCCAAATACTCCAGCATACTGAAGAGAAGATAGAACGCCATATATATCCTTTGGTACTTTGTAATGTCTCCAGGATATGAATAAGTTCATCAAGAGTAGAAGGCCATTGGAATGAAAAAAAAAAAGAAGTTTCTGAAATGATCCTAGACTTGCTTCAATAATGAGCAAGAGAAGAAGAGATGATCTCTAGTTTCCAATTGAAGTGAACAAAAAGGACACATAGAGTCATTTTGCCAGCCTTTTTTCAGGAGATTCTAATCTTGTAGGGGTCTAATTGTGATTGTTCACCTATTTCATTATTTTTGAGGATTTTTACATATTTGACAAGGGCAGAGAGGAGGATGCTTTCCCTCATGCCTTGAGATCAGTGATAATGTAAACAAGTGTGCAAATCAATACCCTCCTTGATACGAAGGCATTGTAACGATGATTATAATGGACATTGCTGAAGGAGAATCAAAGTTACAAATGGTAAAAAAAATCAATGATATCATGAGCTAGTAAGCACATGATTGAGGACACCATTGATTCTAACAATCTCTTTGAAACCCACTTCGAAGAAAATTATTTTAAACTTTTTTATCTCTTTTAACAAGGAGTTCGAACGATGAGGGTCTTAGAACTTCACATTTCCTCTGTCTTTTTCCCCAACCACATGACTGCCATTAATTTGTTAGACCCATAGGGCTACTTCGAGTATGAAGCCTCAATCTTCAATCTCAACCAGAAGTAAATAAATCAATCCACAGTTTGAATGGATTATTTGGGTTATAGTCCACCGAAACTTAACCCAGGATTCATAGTTTATTTTTAGCAGCGGATTATAGTCCTCAGTATAACCAAGTAAATAACAAAAATATCCATCATTTTTTCACACATCTTTCTATTCCCTTCTCCCCTTCCACTTTTGAGTTTTCTCGGCCCTTTTAACAAAAAGGACAAAGTTATAAATCACTTTCTTTATCAGATACCTCAAATTTTAATCCACTTGGGTGATAATTTACTAATAGATTCGCTACTACAAATGGTCCTATTAGCAAAAACTAATTAATCTAATTAATCACTGCTAGTAGACTCAATAGAAGTGATTATGACAACATTTCTCTTTTAAAACGGCTTTCTTGAAAAATCTCAATTGATTTGATTGATTTTTTGTTGTTTCCTTAATAACTTAAAATGAAAGGGGGAACAATAATTTAGGGCACCACTTAACATTAGCTTATGATAAGTTGTTTATATAAATAACTTATATATGCAACTTATATAGGTTATTGAAAATAGTCGTTTGATAATAATTGTATCAAAAGATGCTTCTAAAAGTATTTAAGGTGTTTCGTAAAACTGTGTTTAAATATTATTCTCAAGAGATAAATTCTATATATGATATAACTAAAAAAATCCTTTTAAAAATAGCCTGAAATTGCTTCCAAAAGCACCCCCAATTTCGATAAGCATGCAAAAAAATATCATCAAGCACTATTATTGACCGCTACTAAAAATTTAAAAAAAGGCAGAAGCACCAAAATAATAATAATAATAATAATAATAATAACAATAATAATAAAACAATGTCAAACTAGTCTTAATCTTTTAGCCAATCCACAAATTGATCACCCTGACCTAGTTAAACCAAAACTAGTTAAAACCCAAACCTTCTTTTGGGGATAACCCCAAACTTATTTTGGAATTGCTAAACACAGTCTTAGTGATATACAGGACACGAGGGTTCTTTTCCAACTTAACGGAATCATATATTTTCTTTCTAAGACGTTTCTATAATCTAACCAATTATTATCCTTTTTTTTTTTTGGAAAATCAAAAGGTCAAACGGAAAGTAGATTACGGGACGGCTTTATAGCGTGTTTGGTGATCCCATCCTCTGTTTTAGTTCGTTGTTTGAAAGCTAGAAAAGCTTTCAACAATGACATTTACTCTATGTTACGATACTTTGACTTTAATCGATATGTGCAATTTAAATATCATTACTTTGCAAGAATTATATGCATGGCTGAACTAAGTCAAACTGATTAAAAAATTGGTAATCATTTTGCTCTTGCTTTTCAAAGATCGGATAGAGAAAAGCAGCCAAGCTTTTTAAAAAAAAGATATGAGAGTCTACTACGGCAGAAAAAGCTAAAAGTTAAATTGATCTCCTCCGCTACCACAACCACAGTGGAGAACATCCAAAGTTCCCTAGTGTTACCCCCTTAATTTTTTTTAATAGCTTTCACTTATTAGGAACAATATGCAAAATTTTGTAATAACAATTCTTTTTTAAGTCATAAGTTGGTATTACGTCTAAGTGGTGGATTCAGAAATTTTTCTTGGAGAGAGACTAACAACAAGTATCTATTTGTTAGGATTGTGTCTTTGATTTTTTGTATAACTTCATGAGAATTAAATATGGGTAGAGATCTATCATGATTAGGAGATTGGGTCTTATCATGATTAGGAGTTCTAGTTAGGAAGTTAGGCTAGAGATAAAGTTTTGGTTTCCCTATATATGTTCTTCTATTATTGGAGGAAAAGCCAAGTACAAGGAAGAGAACCAATATTCTTAAAATCTAGAATTAACAGAGGGCGTACTTGATTCAAGAATATTGTGCAAGAGGCGAGTGTTTCGTGGTCTTTATCCGTGTAAAAGATTACAACATTGGGAGAGGGTTTCGTATTCTTTGTTCATTTAAAAGATTGTAAGGAGTGAGCTTTGGAGAGAATATAAGAGTTGATTATGTATGTGAGGTTGAGAGATTGAGAGACTAGAGTTGAGTGATTCCTCTTGTAGTTCTCTCTGATACATAGTGGATTTCTCGTATTGTTTCCCCGTGGATATAGGTTGAAGTTGGTCGATCAAACCACGTAAATCTCAGTGTTCTTTCTTCTTGATTGTGATTATTTTTTATCTTGTTAATTATGGGTTAACTTCCGAGTTACGTAGATAATAGTAGGCTAGTAGACTAAAATTCCCAGCAAGTGGTATCAGAGCCATGATGATGGATCCAGGAGCGAGTTCGCAAGATAGACGTTGTACAAAAGTGAAGATCAGCAGCGTTACAAGAATTAAGATAAAGAATGAAAAGAAGGCACTATAGCAATAGAAACACTGTAACAACAGGAACATTGTTCACTTGGGTGAGAGTTTGGTTAAAAATTATTAAATTAAATCCGACGGTATAGATTAAATTTTCTTCTAATCGAGGGTTTGGAGGCGAATTTCAACGCTCCAGGAGTTGATTTCTGATTTTGGAGTGCTCTGAACGTGATGGGAGGGTTTAATTTTTCAAAATTTGCTCAGATTGATCAAATAGTGCTAATAAGTTCTGATGGTAGTGGTAACGAGACAGATCTAATGGCAAATAGGGACAAACGAGTATGTGACGGATGAGACTGGTGTAGAGAATCAGACGTGATTCTAGTAGTAGAGTTGTCAGCATATAATTATTCAGAGTCATCGCAGGAGCAGGAATTGGTTACTCAAGGAGGACACTGCCAGATTAGATGGAGCTTACAAGCATGCACGACTGAGTGACATACATAGAGATGGAGATGGTTGTAGGCGTCTAAAAATGCCTATGGGTGCCCGCACACAGCTCAAGACAAAGAGAAGGTGATGAACGTCGTTATCCGAATCAAAGAGGATTATCCAACGCCGACAAGCGCATGAAGCGAATAGGCAAACTGTTGATGACACGACAACGAACCACCACAATGGAAAACGCCAAGTGGACCGCACGCGTTAATCAACTCAAAGCGTACAAACGCGCCCAACAGTCAGTTAACACGCACGCATCATTCAGCTCGTGCATGTCAATCAGTGTGCGCATCAATCAGTTCACGATGGCGTCAATTATCGCACATTAATCAACTCGCATGGAGCATACAAGTCAACACGACGGATGAGTAAACAAAACGGGAGAAACTACAAGTCCCGGAAGACCGAAAAAGTCGTAAAACACAAGAAATCAGCATAACAAAAGATCTCAGCGCGCCGCGCGGGACGGACCAAACCGACCCGCGCCCGTGCGGGTCGGAATGATCCGACCCGCGCAAGCGCGGGTCGGAATGATCCGACCCGTGCCGGCGCGGGTCGGAATCAACCGACCCGCGCCGGCGCGGGTCGGACACAACCGACCCGCGCAAGCGCGTCCTGCGCGCGCTGTTTCGATCGGGTTCGGTTTTTGATGGTTTTTCTCGAGATTTGTTGGTTCCTGAGCATCCAAACTGACTTGATATCATCTACAAATGTGGTTAGGCTGTTGTCAACTGAAGATAGAGCCAAATCACTTGTTCTCATCCAAATAACCGCATTCGGGGTCTATAAATATGAGTCAAAGGCCTCCATTTTTCAGGGGCGATTGATTATCAAGACGAGGAGGTGCTGCCGGATTGTGGAGTCAAAGGAGCACGAATTTCAGCGAGGGTTGACAGATCTTGGCGAGTTCTTCGGCATAAAGAAGGAGAGTTCGATCGAGAGATCCGACGCCCGTTCCCGTCCCTTGAGATTAGGCTTGGTCTTAATCTCGAGAAGAGCCCTGATTTCGCTTGGTCGATCTCAGCGCTTCAAATCAAATACTTCCTCGGCGAAGGCGAAGCTCTGCCGAATTTTCCATCAAACGGATCCAGATCTAAGGCGGTCCACGGATAAACCCCGGCACAGGCAAAGAACCCACTCAAGCAGAAGACCGATAAACGATCTCTGCGTTTGTTTTGACGAGAGTTGTAAACTTTTATTTTCATTGTGTAAAAGTCTTATAAAAAGACAATCTTTTTGTTTTCATTGTAACGACTAAAGTTGTAATGAATACCGCAATGAATACATCAATTTTCGACGCAAACAATAACCAGTAGTAGATTACCGTCTATCTAGATCGCCTACGTAATCTGAGTCTACAAACCCGTCAATCTGACATATGTTTCCACCAAAACACAACTCCATATCAACGGTACTCTTCAAGTACATGAAGAGTACCTCAGGACCCACTTCACTGTTTCCTAATGTGCCTTTCCCAGATTCGCCATGAATATGCTGACCACACTGACCGCATGTGAAATATCTGGGCATGTACACACCATGACGTACATCAAACTGCTAACTATACCAGCATAAGGAACACGCTCCACCTACGCCTTCTCTTCCACTGTAGTGAGAGATTATTTACCTGAACGTCTGAAGTGTAGAGCCCATGGAGTCACCACCGACTTAGCACTTTGCATCCCGAACCTTTCTAAAAATTAGGCAACGTCAAGCGCCCCAACAGCGGACAAATGCCCTCTCCTCCAAATCACCAACAAGTGAATGGATACAAGTCAAAAGGACCCGTTTAACTCTTGAAGAGAGGATCAAAAAGCGTCGCGTACTACTTGCACGCGCGCGAATTCTTACGCTAGAGGTCAAAAGATTGCAGAGGGAAGAAGTGGAAAAGAAGCCACCAAAACTGCACAAAGTTTGGAGGCCAAAGTCCAAGACGGCGGCCGAAAAGATCGAAAAATGCGGGTCACTCAAATCCGACCCGTCGGTCTGCGGGTCACTCAAATCCGACCCGCCGAATCGCGGGTCACTCAAATCCGACCCGCCAATTCGCGAGTCACTCAGATCCGACCTTCTAGTCTGCGGGTCGCCCAAACCCGACCCTCCAACTTGCGGGTCACCCAAGTCTGACCCGCAACAGATTCAAGGCAGAAGATGTCCTGCCAAAACGCAGGTCACTCCAATCCGACCCGCCAATTTGCAGGTCACTTGGATCCGACCCTCCACTTTGCAGGTCACTTGGATCCGACCTTCCAAATTGCAGGTCACTTGGATCCGACCCTCCACTTCGCGGGTCACTTGGATCCGACCTTCCAAATCGCGGGTCACTTGAATCCGACCCTCCAACCCGTCGGTCACTTAAATCTGACCCGCGCCAGAGTCAAGGCAGAAGATGTTCTACACCTGTTTCGTCGATCCCTTCGAGTTCCGCACCTCTGGTGGAGCCCCACGACAACATGGATTTGTCCCGATTCAAGGTGAGGATAGTTGATCGCCTGGGTCCTTTGTACGAGGATCGAGGCAAAGTTCTGATCGAAGAATGCTTGGGTACGGTGACTGAACCCCGAACGATTCGTCGAGCTGGGGGTCGCACACGCCCTCGTAACAATTTCAAGCCTTCTCATAAAGGGAAAACTCCAATTTCTACCCGCCTGGGGGTGTTTATCCAAAACCAAGAGCCTGTTGAGATCCTGCGCTCCCAAAAGTGTAGTTCTAAACACGTGACTCTTGAGAACGCCAACAAGGAGTTGCATACTCAGAAGAAAACTGAACCCCGAGCGACTCGTCGAGCTGGAGGTCGCACACGCCCTCGCAACAATTTCAAGCCTTCTCATAAAGGGAAAACTCCAATTTCCGCCCGCCTGGGGGTGTGTATCCAAAACCAAGAGCCTGTTGAGATCATGCGCTCCCAAAAGCGTAGTTCTAAACACGTGACTCTTAAGAATGCTAATAAAGCGGCAAATCCCCTGAAAGAAACGTATTCATCTGACGATGACAACGTTATACCAGGGGAGTCATGTCAACACACGATAGGTTGCTCCGGTCATCTGATCGATGAGTTGTACTATCGGGCTGGGGGTATGAACGAGTCTCGGAAAAGATATGCCCGAGAAACCAAATCTCACTACCCGTGCGCCGAACTAATCAGGACAATATTATCAGCATGTAGTTGCCCCAAGACCGCTCCGCAGAGGGTCTCGGTATCCGAGAGGATCTCCAACGGAATGACTAAGTCCAAACCAAAACGTCTCCGTAAAAAGAGATCGGTTGTTCAAGGTGACGAACTCCCGGAAGTCACAATAAATATGGCTGATAAGGGAAAGTCGATTCGACCTTCTAGCTCTGACCCGCTTATATCTCATCGTCTAACCCGGTTGCGATCAGGGACCACTAGACGTAGGGACTACCAGAGAATGCAGAGAGGGTTATCCTCGGACGATGAAGCATCGGATGCTAACTCTGCAGTCGCTTCTGACAATACGGTATCTAGCCCAGGGCAATCCCGCGAAGTGTTTATGATTAACACCGAAGAAGCAGCTAAAATGGTTGAGGATGCTCTAGCCAAGCAGAAGCAAGCATTTAAATTCGAAATAGAAACGGCTATGCAACAGATGAAGGAAGAGCACGACCGACAGATTCAGGCTCTTTCCAATCAAATGGGCGAATCCAGCCGTCGCAACGCTGCTAACCAAGTAGGTAGCGATTCAGATGTGGATGAACGCCTTAATGCTGATAACCCTCTCGTTGACCAAAACGCTGGGGGTGGCCCCACTAAAGACGACAACGCTGGGGGTGGCCCCGTTATTCCTCTTAAGAATCGTCCAAAGCCCGATACGAGCGAGGATGAGAAAATGAAAGATCTCGAGAGTAAAATCAACGCTCTAATGTCTGATCGAGAGGTAAAGAGGACTGGCATTCTATGTCCATATCCAAGAGAGTGGGACTCAATAGCATACCCGGCGAAGTTCAACTTGATTAACTTCACGCCGTTTGACGGGAAGAGTTCGCCCACACAACATCTGATCTACTTTAAGTCCCACTTGGGTATGATCTCCGGCAATGAAGCCTTGATGGTTCGGTCATTCGTTGGTACCCTTCGCGGGCCGGCCTTCGATTGGTACCGCCGTCTCAAGCCCGGAAGTATTAACAACTGGGACGATATGGAGAACTCATTCCTTGGTAACTTCTTTGATGACGACGATGAGGTATCCATCAGGACACTTTTCGATGAGAAACAAGAAGATGACGAGACAGTCGACGACTTCGTCAAGCGCTTTCGGAATAAAGCAATGAATTGCCGAGATCCGATCACGGAGGACTTCATCCTCCAGACATGTCATAACAACCTATCTATTGAGATATTAGAAGTTATGGGAGTCGCACCGTCCAACACTTGGAAAGAGTTGAAGACGCGCGGAGAGCGGGCCGAACGCTTCCTCCGAAGGAAGAAAGCCGAGAGGAGCCAACCAACGGGGAATCTTCCGAACTCAAACTTCGCCTCCCGTGGTAAAGGAAAGGCACATGCAGCGGTTGTAGACGTTAATCAGACATCGCAACAACCCCGAAGGCAGCAAAAGACTTCAGATCCGAGACTCCAAAAAGAGTACTCCTTCAAGGACGAAGATGTTCCGGCTATTTTCGAGTCCCTCTTTGAAAATAACAAGATCAAGCTACCACCTATCCCAGATCAGGAGGAAGCTGATAATACTACGGATCCGAAGTACTGCGCGTACCACAGGAGGATCCTTCATCCTACCAAGGCTTGTTTCGCTCTTAAGAATAGCATCCAAACCTTGGTTGAAGCCGGCGTTATATCGCTCAATTAGACCGAATGAACACTCCGAAAAGTATACGAGTATAAACTGCTTCTTTTAAGACTCCGACAAGTATACGAGTATAAACTGCTTCTTAATCCTCCAATCGGTATATAAGGTTAAACTGCTCCCTGATACTCCAATAGGTATATGAGTTTAAACTGTTTCCCACCATTGATGGGAAGTTCCTAGAGAATGTTACGCTAATATTCTTAAGGATACCCCAAACATGTAACGGAGTACAAAGTCAGATCCAGTTCCAAGAAAGAAGCTGGGGGTGGATGAGTCATGTAATGGGAAGTTCCCGGAAGAACACTATATGTAATTTTCTTAGGGATAACCCAATAATTACGAACAAAGTGATAAATATTAAACCCCAACCATGATTTGTACTCCCACTCTCACTGTCTACCTGGTCAAACCTTCCTATAGTTAGGACCACAACCAAAGTCCCCTCTCGATTCCTTCCATGAACGAGAGGTCCACTTTCAAATTGAACGATCAAACCTATAAAAGGTAAGATCGTTTCAAAACTCCCGCTTCCACTGCTTCCTTGGTCAAACCTATAAAAGTTAGGGCCACAACCAGATTCTCCTCTCGATTCCTTTCATGAACGAGAGGTCCACTTTCAATTGAGCAATCAAACCTATAAAAGTTAGGATTGCCTCCAACTTTACTTAGTCAAACCTGCAGATAGTTAGGACTAAGATTGAGTTATCCTTTTCGATAAACGAAAGACTTCCATCTTTTCCTTTTTCCACCAAACCTATAAAAGTTAGGGTCGAAATTAGGCTTTCTCCTCAATAAATGAGGGACTCTTTTTGGATCGAATGACCAATCCTATAAAAGTTAGGGTCGTTTGAACCTTTCTGATTCTCGGAGTGGAGATCCCACTCTTAGTTTCATCTTTTCGGATTCTGGGGGTGGAGATCCCACCTTGAGTTTCCTTTCCTACTGTAGATAGAATATAAAATTCTTCCTCTTCAGTACCGGGAGATAGAATATAAAATTCTTCCTCTCCCATTTTCCAATCTGTCTTTGTTCTTAGAAAAGACACAATTTTCAACTTCCAATCCGGGCACTTTGCGCACGGGGAATTTTATCTCAACTCCTAAGTAGAGATAAGTCTACGCCTAACACGCGTTGCCGGTTTAGTCTTTCACCGATTGAAAAAGACACCAGAATCTAGTCTGGGGCATTTTATCCCGAAGCCTAAGTAGGGATAAGTCAGCGATTAACCCGCGTTGCTGGGTGGTTCATCCCCATAAAAAATGACCGAGTCTACGTATTCAGCATCGTAGCAACAAAAATCCATGCCTTTTATGCATGGGGAATTTTATCCCAAAGCCTAAGTAGGGATAAGTCAACACCTAACACGCGTTGCCGGTTAGTTCTTAATCGTAAAAAGAACAAAAGCCCACATATTCGATATTATGGCAAGTCGTTATTCATAACGCCAAAATCCGTGCTTCACACGCGCGGGGAATTTTATCCCGAACCCTAAGTAGGGATAAGTCAATGCCTAACTCGCGTTGCCGGTTTAGTCTTTCACCGATTGAAGAAGACACCAGAATTCCAATCTGGGGACTTTTATCCCGAAGCCTAAGTAGGGATAGGTCAGCGTCTAACACACGTTGCCGGGTAGCCTATTCCCGTAACAATGGCGAAGTCTACGTATTCAATATCGTAGCATCAAGTCTAAAGGAGTTCATTCCTTTAGCACAACGTCACGTGCGGAACGAACTTAAACAATCCGCATGCAAGCCCGATTCAAACGGTAATCGGTAAAGGTACGCCAAATCCGTTGAAGGCTGAGGGTTTGCCAAAAACCTTAAAGTCTAC